ATTAGGGGAATTAATGCTACACTCTCCAACACTTTTTTCTGCTCGCAATAAATACTTAAATATCACATTAAAGTTCATGGGAATGTAATATATATATATAAACAAGTTGGATATAAAAAAAAATGTACGAAACAAATGTTTACCTCTCCACTGGAAAGTCTAGCGAAAACGAGACGACGTCGACCTTGACCTGCTTAATGGCCATGTCAGGTTGAATGCACCAGCGTCCGGCCTGCATGTAAACAAAATGAAGGTTGTCCGTCTCATCGTCTGCAAAGCAAAATATTTTTTTTAAAGAAAAACGAAATCTCTCTCTCTCTCTCACTCGCTCTCTCTCTCTCTCTCTCTCTCTCTCTCTCTCTCTCTCTCTCTCTCTCTCTCTCTTAAGAGAATATTTGTATATACAAAATTAAAATTATTCTCTCTCTGTGTTGCTCTCTCTCTCTCTCTCTCTCTCATTCTCTCTCTCTCCTCTCTATTACTCTCTATACTCTCTCTCTCTCTATCTCTCTCTCTCTCTCTCTCTCTCTCTCTCTCTCTCTCTCTCTCTCTCTCTCTCTCTCTCTCTCTTAAGAGAATATTTGTATGTACAAAATTAAAATTATTTTGAACTCGTATAATCAGGTAATATTCATCTTCAAAAAAACAAAAAAGTAGCAAAAGACTTTATTACTGCTTCAAAAAATCTTAGAAAAGAAAAAAAAAATGAAGAAACCGCGACTTTGTTACTTGTTCATCATCACGTTACATCGATGATGTTTTCGCTGGTCTGTTTGTGGGCAAACGTTTTGGAAGTGCAATGGATTTCACCCTGTGACACGCTTCATTGGCAAAAAACTACACAGCCCACGAAACACGTTCACGGTTGCTTGATCCGAGCAGCCGTCCAATGCAGCGCCACGGAATGCTAGACATGCATATGACGTTATTTCGTGCACAACGCATGGGGAAGGTTCTGGCCAGACACTTCGCCTGTCTATGTTGACACGTGATTAATGATATTGAATGCGTACTTTAAAGAGTAAGTGTACTCACCGTCTGTGTTGGCATAGTCACCCATGTACCATTTAGACACTTTTGCCGGGCTTGAATCGGAGCTAGGCTCCACGTACTCCTGCATTCTCTTCTTCTCTTTCTCCTTCTCTTTCTCCTGTTCCTCAATGGGCAGCTGGGAAATACAAAGTAACATTTGAATAATGAGTTTCTTAAGTAATGTTAATATGCTATAAAATCTTAATCTTTGCATATAGTGTTCTTCTTCTTCTATATCTTAAGGGCCCACGATCAATTTATTGATCATTTTGGCTCCTATGCATGTAGATGGGATTTGCAATATTTCTGTTACTGGTGGTGATGAGGAAATTATGCACTAGGAGTTTGAAGGCTTGAGGCAATAGACACAAATGTGTCTAGTGTTGTCGCCTCAACTGTTCCTTTTGAAAGATGGTTCCAGTCCCTGATTGTCTTTGGCAGGAATGAGCAGCTCCTATACTGGCTTCTTGCTGGTATGAGCCTGAATTGCCTGTCATGGCCTCGTCGCTGTCTATGGGGGAGAGGGACGAGTTTCTGTTTAATACTGGAACACTGGAGCCTGGATTGTCGTCGTCGTTTCTCCAATGGTGACCAGCCTAGTGTTTCTAGCATGCTGCCAACACTAGAGGTATTCCTGTAGCGGTTTAGGACAAAGCGTGCTGCTCGTCGCTGGACCGCCTCCAACCTGTCAATGCTCTTCTGGGTAAATGGGTCCCAGACTGAAGATGCATAATCTAAAATCGGACGGATAAAGGCTTTATATGCTCTTTCTTTCACACAGGAGTTGCCAATCTTTAGATTTCGCCTTAAGAACCCCAAGGCTTGGTTTGCTTGGTTACATACATTGTTAATATGCTCGTCCCAGCGGACCTCTCTTTGAATGGTAACACCCAGGTACTTTACGGAGGAAACTTGCTCAAGAATATGGCCGTGCAGTTTGTATTGGTAGTGTAGAGGAGTACAACTTCTAGAGATTGATAGTGTCTGGCACTTGGCAGGGTGAAATTCCATGTCCCAGCTCATCTCCCACTCAGCTAACAGATTGAGATCCTGTTGTAGCTGGTCCTGGTCAGATCTGTTGGCGATCGTCCTATACACTGCTGTGTCATTTGCGAACAGTCTTGCCTGTGATGTCAGTTTTTCCGGTAGGTCATTAATGTATGCTAGGAACAAACAGGGGCCCAGGACTGATCCCTGGGGGACCCCTGACTTCACATTGACAAAGGAGGAGCTTGTACCGCCCACCACTCCTGCTTGGCGTCGGTGGCTGAGGAAGCTAGAGATCCATGTTTTAGTGGTGCCTTGAATCCCATATATCTGGAGTTTGTGTAGAAGCAAACTATGATTCACCCGGTCAAATGCTTTTGCGAAGTCCATTACTAGCACGTCAGTCTGCTTGTGGTTCTCAAGATTGGTCATCAAGTCTTCTACAAATTCGAGAAGCTGGGTCTCACATGACCTATTGACTCGGAAGCCATGTTGACAGTCATTGAGTATATTTTGGCTTTCAAGATGCTTCATGACTGTGCTTACGATTATGTGCTCCAACAGTTTTCAGACGACGCCAGTGATGGATATCGGACGATAGTTGGCAGGGTCGGAATGCTCCCCTTTCTTGTAAATTGGAGTGACATGCGCTGTTCTCCAGTCTGCTGGAACATTTCCTGTGCATAGTGACGATTGGAAGAGGATTGTCAGTGCAGGAGCGATTTCTTTGGCTAATTCTTTGAGCACTCTTGAGTATCTCCGCCTGTGCTTTTGGGTCAGATGTCAATTGGCCATCCCACCTCAAGGGGGAAACTCCAGCGTTTGAGGACTTTTGGTGTTTCACATAGCTCCAGAAGCGCTTGTTCTTGACATCTTTGGTCGGGGTGTTTAAAAGGACACCACAAGAAGTTATAGAAATAACATCGCGACTTGTACGAAAGTGAACAACATGAGGGTATACCTAAATAATGAGGGTGTGTAATTAAATAATGCAGGGTATAATTAAATAATGTAAGGCATAATTTTAAAAAAAATTGCGTGGATAATTAAATAACGTGGTGGATTAAATAATGTTGGTGTGTCATTAAATAATGTGATTGTATCATGAAAAAATCTGGGTGTATAATGGAATAATGTGGGGTGTATAATTTAATAACGTGGATGTGTAATTAAATAACATGGGTGTATGATTAAATAATGTGGTGGTATAATGAAATAACAAGAGTGTATAATTTAAAAATAAGACTGTATGATCAAATATCAAGAGTGTATAATAAAAAACAAGGGTGTATAATGAAATAACAAGAGTGTATAATTAAATAACAAGGGTGTATAATCAAGTAACAAGAGTGTATGTTATAATCCAATAAGAGTGTATACACAAATAACAAAAGTGTATAATTAAAAAACAAAGTATATAATCAAAAAACAAAAGTGTATAATCAAATAACAAGAGTGTATAATCAAATAACAAGGGTGTATAATCAAATAGCAAGAGTGTATGTTATAATTAAATAATAGTGTCTATTAAAATAACAAAAGTGTATAATTAAATAACAAAAGTATATAATCAAATAACAAGAGTGTATAATAAAATAACAAGAGTGTATAATGAAATAACAAGTGTGTATAATCAAATAACAAGAGTGTATATTATAATCAAATAACAAGAGTATATGCTCAAATAACAAGAGTGTATAATCAAATAACAAGAGTGTATAATGAAATAACAAGAGTGTATAATGAAATAAAAGGGTGTATAATCAAATAACAAGAGTGTATATTATAATCAAATAACAAGAGTGTATTCTCATAAAACAAGAGTGTATAATTAAGTAACAAAAGTGTATAATCAAATAACAAGAGTTTATAATCAAATAACAAGAGTGTATAATCAAATAGCAAAGGTGTATAATGCAATTACAAGAGTGTATAATCAAATAACAAGAGTGTATAATCAAATAACAAGAGTGTATAATCAAATAACAAGAGTGTATAATCAAATAACAAGAGTGTATAATCAAATAACAAGAGTGTATAATAAAAAAAAAACAAGAGTGTATAATCAAATAAAAAGAGTGTATAATCAAATAACAAGAGTGTATAATCACATAACAAGAGTGTATAATTAAATAACAAGAGTGTATAATCAAATAAAAAGAGTGTATAATCAAATAACAAGAGTGTATAATCAAATAACAAGAGTGTATAATTAAAAAACGAAGACCTACCGGAGGCTTCGCTGGGTTTTTCATTTTTTCCTCTTTCAACTTCCTGGCCAGGGCCATCTTCTTGGCCTTGGCAGGGTTAGGTGGACATGGCAGGGTGACCTGTTGAAGTGAATCAAAGTTCATAGACAAACATTAAACTAATACATTTAATTTAATTTGTTTTCAATGAAAAATAACCTCTTTGGGTATATAACTTATCTACATTAACTCTTGCGGTAACTGAAAAATATACTTCTTCAGTTTAACTAAAATAAACTACCACAAATGACATCCGAAGAGCGCTGATTCAAACTGGATCCAGACACGCAGCGCCGCCATTCGCACCCGGGTACCATCAGACTCAAGCTATTCGGATGTCATTTGTGGTAGTTTATCTTAGTTAAACTGAAGAAGTAAGTTTAGAAACATATAGTCCATTCAATTATGTTTCATTTGATATCTCATCTTGTCTTACAAGCCCAATAATAATATTTTAAATAGTTTTTTTTAATCCCAACCTCTCACTTCTGGCACCCGGGTACGAATAGTGTTAACATACTTTACTGGCCATAGGGTTTAGTCGTTCTGATTGAAGGTAAATTGTGTCATTATAAAAAGGTTGTTTACACCCATACGCGTGGTCGGTTTTGATTGGTGTGGTACTCAGACTCTGACTTCACCACGTGACAGGCGTTGTTATTTTCGAATGACGTCGCATCGCACCGCACCAGGTGACTCGACCGATGTGATAATTACCCTCGCAGAGGGACAATTCATTCAACAGATGCTGAAAGATATATGACCGCAACAGCTAAAAGGAATCTCAAATATTTCCCCCGGACTTGCAAAAGTTAACATACGTGTAGACTGCGCAGTTATTTTAACAGTAAGACGTCTACACAGGGCAATGGTCACTTAATACAGCTAACGAGATCAATGTGAAACAAGAAATATAATAATAATAACAGAAGGATTTCGCTGACTCGTTAGGAACTTCCTTTTAAAGTTATAAGCTTTATGAAGTAACTTTTGTATTGTGTCTGCGCCGGTCGTATGACTGCTCAACGATAACAGTTCACCATGGGAGCTATCATTAGAATCCTGGCAATACTTTGGTTCTCGCCAGTGCTCTCGAAAACTGATGCTTCTAAAGATCAGGATGGGCGCAGTAAGTATTTGAAAGGTGGCGATTTTTTTGTTTGTTTGTTAATTAATTTTTTTCAAACTTTTTGCCAATTTATCAGCTGTTAGTTAGTTAATATTTAAGTTTAGTCATATGAAACCTAATTATGTTTATTATATTTACTAAGCAATGAAAGTTTTGAATCCCTATTGGCATAATGTGATTAATTTGACTTTTAACAAATATGAAAAAAAAAGATCCATTCATTTATTTGAATATAGCATAAAAGAAGGAATAATTATATATATATATATATATATATAAATCTATATATATATATATATATTTAATAAAATGCCCCTTTCAAGTTATTTGCTTCACTTTTGTATCATGCATCCATGACTTTTAATGTGTTTGACATTCCTGAAGTATACGACTGTCTGTCTGGACATGAATGCCAGGGCGCCATAATCACCACCCATCAAGAGGGCGTAGACTACTGCTGTGAGAAAGGGCACACACTCATCCTGGAAATGGACAGTGGCACTGATGAAGAAAACTGGTGGGTTTACTACTACTTTAATCTCTCTGTAGTATCCTCTGTAGCATTCTCTTAAGTACTCTCTATATTGTCCTCTGTACTACTCTCCGAAGCATTCTCTGTAGCACTTTTGAACTACTCTCTTTAACATTCTCTGTAGTATACTCTGTACTACTCTCTGTAGTATCCTCTGTACTACTCTCTGTATCATTCTCTGTAGTATTCTCTGTACTACTCTCTGTAGAATTCTCTGCATTATTTTCTGTACTACTCTCTGTAGCATTCTCTGATGTATTCTCTGTAGTATCCTCTGTACTACTCTCCGTGGCACTCTATGTAGTATTCTCTGTAGCATCCTCTTTACTACCCTCTGTAGCATTTTCTGTAGTATTCCCTGTACTTCTCTCTGTAGCAATCGCTTCAGTATTGTCCGTACTACTCTCTGTGCTACTGCAGTAGCCTCTCAGATAGACGCACTCTGGCCTAAATATAGCCCCCAACGTGTTCGTCCTATATAGACCGTTGCTTTCCCCTCCACACTTTTATTTTAGTTCTGACCACGGGATCTAACTTAAAGAACGTATATTCTTGAAGCGATCTTTTAATAAGCAGGTATATGTTTGTTATTCGGTGGTCACATTTCTTAATCCCATAGATATTCCCTTCGACCACTTTATTGCAATTTTTTTTAAAAAATCCTTCATATTAACTTCGCTTGCGTCTGTGTGTTTCTTTCTTTCTGTCTGGGCGTGTGGCAAAATCTTAGTATGGCTCAGTGACCCACTTCACGTCAACCTATCGAGCTGAAACGCTACACATTAACTAGTTGCCAATGACAACACATGGAATTACATTTTTACCCCCCCCTTTTTTTTAAAAACCCCCCCCCCCCCCCCCCCAAAATCGGGTTTTCCCGTTTTTCAAGTGGATGATGAAAGATATATGATGCCACTTATTTCTGATGTCACGAAACAAAATGCCAGATATCAGCGGTAAACGAGATTCCATTTAAAAAAAAAAAAAGTTTCTCCAGTGCTTTTAATGCGTCATATTTCCTTCTATTTTCCCTGAAATAATAATAATAATATATCTGCTGGTGGGACATTTTTATTTATTTATAGATATATTTTTTTTTAAAAGCACATAAAATATTTATTCAAAAAACGTTAATTTTATGGGTTGTTTAATTATTATCTGTTTTAACAGTTGGTGCTCTGTTTTAAAGATGTGTGTTGTTTTTTTTCCAGTAGATTACCTGTTATTTCAATATAGATTTAGTTACAATTGAGATGTATTACCATTATAGACAACATGTTGTGTAAAACAATCATTGTTTCGTTTAGGTTTGAGTTCGACGAGGCCTTCTGGTTCGACATTTTACACATGTTTAAGACCCAAGACGACGGAAACGAGAAGTCCACTGATAGCGACAAGCGCGGCTCTGGGGGAAGGGGAGACAAGAAACCCGGTTCAAACTTTCGGGACGACGGTCTGACCGAGCCCGGGCCCGATGGTGTTGCCATAGACAAGGCCTTCATCGTCGACCACGGTGATCTCGGAACGTCAGGCTCTACCGATTCTGACGTGGACGTTCCATTGTCCGTCAACGGTTCTCTCCCGGATGCCACTTTGCCGGGGCTGAAACCGAAAGCGGAAGTAGAAAGTTTGGCGGAAGACAACCACTACCCCACCGCGAATTACGACGACACCCGGGAACGTCAGAGGGATTCGTCTTGGAGGAAAGCCGACGCGGAAAGCGATGATGGCCAGACTGCGGAAAACAAAATGGAAAACGTGGTCAAATATAAAATTCAGGCTTCTGACATGGATACGCTATTGAGCGCATTTTTCCCGCGCTCTGATCTGGCGCGCAAACTGACCAGGCGAGATGCCGACGTGGGTGGCGAGAGGACGAGGGACGTCGACGTCAATGACGGCGACCAGGATTCGATCAACGTGAACGTCGTGACGCTGAGGTCGCTCAGCAATATGGCCGTGACGCCGGAAGCGTGGATGAGGCGCTGCCTGTGCAACGCGCGAGGTAATCCACAAGCGACGGATCTCATAGGGGTGATAATGGATTACCTCAAGAAGTTGTGGTTCTTTTAGCCGTCAGGTTTTGGTATAGGGTGTTATGTTTTAAGAAGCTTTCTGAACATGCGTTAATTGGGTCGGCAAATTTTTTTTTTCCGAAAGACAGATTCGAAAATTATTTATCATCTGCCAATAGATCATTTGGGAGCCGAAAGTGACCATCGGACAACAAACATGAAGAATCGCATACATTTTTGCAGACAAGTTCCCGACGGCTCTGGAACCTTACGGATCGCTAACAGCCGTGTTGACGCTCCTTACTTAGATTTATGGCGCTTTTCAAAAGTCATAGGGCTCTAACGAGTTCTCTGTTAACCTGTTAATAGAACGATGTGTTAAAAAAAAAAAGATTCTGGTTTGGGGGTTTTATTCTCGTGGCCATGAAGAAGTAAAAGAGTTGTTGTTTTTTTTCTTTCACATAATGACACTTCGTTTTACAATTACTTTTTCTCTTGTTCAAAATGTGTTCCCAACACAGTATTTCAACTTTATAACCTAAAAGACTGTTTTCAATCACAGTGAAGGTAGTAGAGATGCATACTTTTCAGAAACGGTATCACCAATATTTATGAATATCATTCTGTGTAAGGTGTTACATCGATCAAAGCCTGAAAGCAAAGAGCTTCATTCTCACTTGGTGTACGTCGACTCTATTACTCCCGTCTCTGTTATTCCCTTCTCTTTTACTCTCGTCTCTTTTACTCTCGTCTCTGTCACTCCCGTCTCTGTTATTCCCTTCTCTTTTACTCTCGTATCTTTTACTCTCGTCTCTGTCACTCCCGTCTCTGTCACTCCCATCTCTGATAATGTCGTCTCTGTCACTCCCGTCTCTGTCACTCTCGTCTCTGTCACTCCCGTCTCTGTCATTCCCGTCTCTGTCACTCCCGTCTCTGTCAATCCCGTCTCCGTCACTCCCGTCTCTGTCACTCCCGTCTCTGTCACTCCCGTCTCTGTCACTCCCGTTTCTGTCACTCCAGTCTCTGACACAACCGTCTCTGTCACTCTCGTCGCTGTCACTCCCATCTCTGTCCCTTACGCCTCTGTCATCCCCGTCTCTGTCACTCCCGTTTCTGCAACTCCCGTCTCCGTCACCCTCGTCTCTGTCACTCCCGTCTCTGTCACTCCCGTCTCTGTCACTCCCGTCTCTGTCCCTCAAATCTCTGTCACTCCCGTCTCTGTCACTCCCGTATCTGTCACTCCCGTATCTGTCACTCCCGTCTCTGTCACTCCCGTCTCTATCAAGTTTAGTTTTTTTACAGTGTATATTGACTAACGATGGAGTAATTGATTTTTTTGGCAGTAAGCGTATTGATCGTTACCTTTGAGACATTCATTAATAAAAGTGGTTGCATTTACAATGATAGCACGCAGTCAGGGATCACATAAGTGTTCACATTAGGTTCATTAACCTTCTGTGAGAAATGTGCATACGATTGTACGTACAGTTTTTCATTCATTTTTATTTTTGTTCTACTTTTTCCTTCTTTAAAAAAGATGCTGTTTACTTGAATTATTGTTTAATTTAGCGGAATAAATATTTAAAAAAAAAAAATTAAAATACAAAAGGTTAATTATTATTTGTGTTCTTTTTCACATATATATTTGTCTTGCCTTAAGCCTTAAAATATGAGAAGACGTTATAAGGCATTGACGAAGTACTCGCTAACAAAATTTTTTAAATGATGTAATGTTTTTTGTTTTTTTTTTTTTTTTTTTTTAAAAATAATAATTCTACCAATGAAAAAAATGGCCACTACATTATTTGGTAAAATAATTCCCCGTTTAAGCACAGAAGCCCTGACAAAAAGAGTACTGGTAGCACTCATTTTTAAGCACGTTTAATCAAATAAATGTTTAGATTCACAAGGACTTGTTCAGACATGAAGCAAAAAAGATTAGGTTCATAAGGACTTGTTTAGTTCACAAATGAAGCAAAAAAAAAAAATGTTTAGATTCATAAAGACTTGTTCAGAAATAAATTTAATAAATATTTAGATAAGGACTTGATCAGTTCAGAAATGAAGTAAACGCATGTTTAGATTCATAAAGACTTGTTCAGAAATAAAGTTAATAAATACTTAGATAAGGACTTGATCAGTTCAGAAATGAAGTAAACGCATGTTTAGATTCATAAAGACTTGTTCAGAAATAAAGTTAATAAATACTTAGATAAGGACTTGATCAGTTCAGAAATGAAGTAAACGCATGTTTAGATTCATAAAGACTTGTTCAGAAATAAAGTTAATAAATACTTAGATAAGGACTTGATCAGTTCAGAAATGAAGTAAACGCATGTTTAGATTCATAAAGACTTGTTCAGAAATAAAGTTAATAAATACTTAGATAAGGACTTGATCAGTTCAGAAATGAAGTAAACGCATGTTTAGATTCATAAAGACTTGTTCAGAAATAAAGTTAATAAATACTTAGATAAGGACTTGATCAGTTCAGAAATGAAGTAAACGCATGTTTAGATTCATAAAGACTTGTTCAGAAATAAAGTTAATAAATACTTAGATAAGGACTTGATCAGTTCAGAAATGAAGTAAACGCATGTTTAGATTCATAAAGACTTGTTCAGAAATAAAGTTAATAAATACTTAGATAAGGACTTGATCAGTTCAGAAATGAAGTAAACGCATGTTTAGATTCATAAAGACTTGTTCAGAAATAAAGTTAATAAATACTTAGATAAGGACTTGATCAGTTCAGAAATGAAGTAAACGCATGTTTAGATTCATAAAGACTTGTTCAGAAATAAAGTTAATAAATACTTAGATAAGGACTTGATCAGTTCAGAAATGAAGTAAACGCATGTTTAGATTCATAAAAAAAAAACTTGTTCAGAAATGAAACAAATAAATCAACTAATAAGCACTTGGAATTCAATCAATCTGACACAAGTTTTGATGTCATCATATTAATACAAAACTCTTCAAAGCACTGGTATCCTAAATTCGGGCGTTATATTTTAGAAGCGTGCCTACTCATTGAAATCGGGTCGCAAACTCTTATTAGCTAAATTTAAATATCTGTGAGTTTAACTCATGAAACTAATTGGCGCGAAAAATATAAATTAAGGAAACCGCTGAATGAAATTTAAACCTACGGCACCTCCGTGTGTTGTGAATTCTACGCGCCGACAGGAACAGACAAGAGCCTTGGTGCCCAGACCACAGATTGACTGGCCTGAATCGGCTTTTTTTTAAAGACGTCACGTGCCCAAGCCACAGATTTACTGACCTGATAAGGTTTTTTGAAAGACGTCACGTGCCCAAGCCACAGATTGACTGACCTGAATTGGTTTTTTGAAAGACGTCACCTCCCACTGCGTGTAGACGAAGGCACTGCTGGCGAGAAGGCTTTTACCGTTGGGCTGTCGTGTCCTGAAATCTTGGACGGTGGCCGAGTCCACGGGCTGGACCTAGGATGGATAGCATCGATTGGTTGGTTAGAAATGTTCAATAAAATGTGTCTTTTATTTTTTTTTAAAATTACATTGTGAACATTGCAAAGGATTAAGGCTACACTTCTTACAACGTTAAGCATCAAGTAAGGAAAGAAAGTACGTTAATTCTAGAGTCGTTGTTTGTTGTCTCAGCTTGTAAAAAAATTAGACATTTCAAAATAGTCTAAAACGTATCTCATCTCAAAATATTCTTTTAAAAACTCTAAAAATAAATATTTTCGAATCTTAACTGCACAAAAAAATTAAATGTGATATATACATTAAGACGAATTCAAACTTATTTACCATTTAAACGCAATTTTTTTTTTAAAATGACAAAATACATTAAAAATATTGACATAGAGTTGAATTGCTTAATTATGATTTGCTTATAAGTTGATTTTTGTTAGTATGGTTAGTATTTCGTGGTAAGTCCGAGCAATGAGGTAACCTCTAAACAACAACGCTAGAAGCGAACACGTATGACATCATATAAATAAAAAGTTAGGCTCTAGCTATGCCCCACAACACAGGCAACAGTGACACACAGCAACAAGGGCAACAGTGACACACAGCAACAAGGGCAACAGGGACACACAGCAACAAGGGCAACAGTGACACACAGCAACAAGGGCAACAGTGACACACAGCAACAAGGGCAACAGGGACACACAGCAACAAGGGCAACGGGACACACAGCAACAAGGGCAACATGGATACACAGCAACAAGGGCAACAGTGACACACAGCAACAAGGGCAAAAGTGACACACACCAAAAAGGGCAACAGTGACACACAGCAACAAGGGCAACAGGGACACACAGCAACAAGGGCAACAGGGACACACAGCAACAAGGGCAACAGTGACACGCATCAACCAGGGAAACTTTGGCACGCAGCAACACAGGCAACAGAAGCACGTCGGAACACAAGCAACAGTGTAAACACAGCAGCATGGGGTACAGAGACACACAGCAGAACACGGGAAACAGTGACGCATGCAGACAAACCTGTAAAAGGAAGTGCTCCTTCTTCACGAGGGTGTCCCTGTCAATAGTCAGCGTGATCCTCTGATCGAATGACGACGTGACCTTCTGACTCTTATTCGGTGCCAGTGTGACGTAGTCCCTCTTGAAACGTGACATCACGATCAGAGTGGTCAGGTGACGCACCTCTGCCTGGGCGAACTTTGTGTCCTGGACATAAATATCAGTAATTATTTGACAAAGTGAGTGTTCAAAAGTGTTTCATTGTATCTTTCTCAATCTTTTATATTAACATCGGGTTTGTTCGTGCGTTTCTCTTTCTTTCGTTCCATTGTTGCGACCATATTTTTTGGCTAATTGAGCCACTTCCCGTCATCCTATCAAGCTGTTTCTTCGCACATAGACTTTATGCCAATGATAGTACATTTTTTCCAATGTTTAGCCCCACCCCACACTCCAGAGCATTCAAATCATTTTTTAAAAAAATGATTTTCAAAGAGGGAGGACAGTTAATGATGTGTTCAAAGGCTGCGTGTTTTGGTGTGGAGATTAAATGTGTCGCTGTTGCTATGTGCTCTCTATTTGTGTGACGCATTTAGGCACTGGAGATGACGTTATTTATACGAAAAACGTTAAAACGTTGCTTTTAAATTTTTGTTTTACTTATTCTTTAAATTTAAAAAAAATAAATAAAAATCATTTTTTTTTAATTTTAGAAGAATAGTATGCCGTGCAATGGTGTGTTTAATGTTTTAGCCGCTGAGCCCAACGTGTCCAAAAACAACCTCCTGATGTAGCTCTTCTACGACATGACGTTTTTCATAAATATAAAGAACAATAGAAAACAAAACAAAAACGCAACAGATGTGCTGGTTTCATACATTCAGTTGAATTGGTCTCCTTACAGGTCACATGTTTTTGAACTGTTTCAATGAAAGAAGTCCATGACAGAAGGTGACATGTTTACGAACTTTCTTTTAACGATTTTAATCTTTTTTTAAAATTTAATAATTTTTGAAATATGTTTATTTGTTATTCCATTCATTTTTAGATAATGAAAATGTTTGTGCCATAATATTTTAGATTTAACGAAGGGGAAACAAGTAAAAAATTAATTTCACCAAACTTTTAACATAAATTATTCCGTGATATCCTGGCGCCTTTTTATCTTTTACGATCGGCCTTGACATTCGGGGTCACTAACCACAAAAGAACTATAAAGTGGGTATAAATTCCTTCGTGACGAATAGAAACGGTGACGAGTGCATGAAAAGGTTGCAGACGGCTGCTGTGGTTGATGCGGAATTCAATAATGAGGATAGACAACTCGATTTACTAAAATAAGAAAAAAAAACAGCTTGCGTGACACAGGATACCCTCCCTTTACCTTATGTGTGTCAAAGGTGACGTCACGCGTAGGTAGGTCCTTCCATTCGCCTTTGACCATGGCCTTGACCACAGCCTCCCTGGACTGGGCACCTGTCCTGCTGAGGACGTGGGGTATAGCGACATAGACAGGACTCTGGTGAGGAAGCACGTAAACGATATCAAATCATACAGTGATATTTCGATCAACAGTCTAATGCATGGTTCAAGGGCCGGTGCTCCGCGGACACTTCTATGGGTCTCCCCCACAGAAATTGATCCGAAAAGGGGCTCCAAGCAAAAACGTTCTGACTGATCTAATAAATTTAAAGCTTAAGATTATATGTTACTGATTATCATCATGTGTTGTGTGTGAGCGTAAACAATTCCTGTGTGTATTGAATTTATTTAAGATATCCCCACTTGTACAGATTTTGTATGTATGTTATTCATTATTATACTTTATGTGTAGGATATGTGTATAAATATACACTTAAAATTTTTCAATCTTTTAAATCTTCTCTTCATAAACATGTTATTTGTAAAGTTTCGAAAACCAATTTGCATCATAATCTTTACTATAAAATGAATATCATATGTGACCCTTCTCCCAACACAAACTTTTTTTTTTCAAATAATCTATCAATTCAAAAAAAAAAAAAAAAGACCCTTGATTACCTTCAACTCGTCTGTCCCATTATGTGACGTGAGGTCGACCACGTGACTTATCAGCTCCTCGTGGGGTAAGTAGGTAACGGTAGACTCCA